CCTGGCATTGAATTTATCTCTAAGCTTATCCCCAGGATCCACCCGTGGGTGTTGCATAAGCTGCTGCCCATGGTGCCCAATGGGATCGTTATCAGGAATCAGCTTTGCACCTTCATTAACAGTGTCCAGAGTCACTCACAGAGGGCTCTGGTGCCTGCCCCAGGCAGCTCGGGTAACACACATGGTGTTCCCAGTGCTCATCTGTGGGGCTGGGCATGTGGATTATTCCCCTCTTCACTGGGATGCTGGATCCTCCACAGATCCTACAAGGTGGGGGGGGGACATCTTCCAGACCTCACAAGAATGTTAATAGCTCCTGTCCATGGAGTTATGGCCATGGAGAGCTTGTCTTGATGCGCATCTCAACATCACCAGGGCCACCAGTGCCATGCCCGTGGGGAAGGATGGGGACCCCTCTGCTCAGGCTGTGCTGATGCTGGTGGAGTCTGACCCCCAGAGCAGCGCATCCTCAGTGACTGGGGTGGGTGAGCTTGGTTTGGTGGCTCAGGGGCTCTGGGGATGGTGTGGGGTACAGGGGGCTCTGCCCAAACGCACAGGGGATTCTAATGGGTGCTGGGCAGGAACAACCCCAGGTTCCAGTATAGATTTGGGAACGACCTGTTAGAGAGCAGTGTAGGGGAGAGGGACCTGGGGGTCCTGGTGGACGACAGGGTGACCATGAGCCGACACTGTGCCCTTGTGGCCAAGAGGGCCAATGGCATCCTGGGGTGTATTAGAAGGGGGGTGGTTAGTAGGTCGAGAGAGGTCCTCCTTCCCCTCTACTCTGCCCTGGTGAGACCTCATCTGGAATATTGTGTCCAGTTCTGGGCCCCTCAGTTTAAGAAGGACAGGGACCTGCTGGAGAGAGTCCAGCGCAGGGCAACTAAGATGATGAAGGGAGTGGAGCATCTCCCTTATGAGGAAAGACTGAGGGAGCTGGGTCTCTATAGTTTGGAGAAGAGGAGATTGAGGGGTGACCTTATTAGTGTATATAAATATATAAAGGGGGAGTGTCACGAGGATGGAGCCAGGCTCTTCTCAGTGGCAAACAATGATAGGACAAGGGGCAATGGGTACAAACTGGAACACAAGAGGTTCCACTTAAACTGGAGAAGAAACTTCTTCTCAGTGAGGGTGACGGAACACTGGAACAGGCTGCCCAGGGAGGTTGTGGAGTCTCCGTCTCTGGAGACATTCAAAACCCACCTGGACACGTTCCTGTGTAACCTTATCTAGGTGTTCCTGCTCCGGCAGGGGGATTGGACTAGATGAGCTTTTGAGGTCCCTTCCAATCTCTAACATACTGTGATACTGTGATGAGCACCCATCCCCAGGCCGAGCACCCTTCCGCGGTCCAGCTCCTCCAGGAAGGAACCCAGCTAATCCTCAGTGGTGGCTGAGCCGCGTTGCCCCAACTGTCCCCTCACGTTGTCCCATCTCCTCCCCACCAGGATCCCCATCTCCTCCTCCTGCTCCTCCTCCGCAGCCCCCGGCAAGGCTCCGGCCTCAGCAGCCAACGGCACGGGCAGCGCGTCGGGCCAGAGCTGCGTGCCCAGGGTGAACATCATGTTCATGAAGACACACAAGACAGCCAGCAGCACCATCCTCAACATCCTCTTCCGCTTTGGCGAGAAGCACGGCCTCAAGTTCGCCTTCCCCAACGGCCGCAACGACTTCTACTACCCCTCGTTCTTCGAGCGCAGCCAAGTGCAGCACTACCGGCCCGGTGCCTGCTTCAACATCATCTGCAACCACATGCGCTTCCACTACGAGGAGGTGCGCAAGCTCCTGCCGGCTGACACCACCTTCGTGACGGTGCTGCGGGACCCTGCCTACCTCTTCGAGTCCTCCTTCCACTACTTCGGGCGCGTCATTCCCCTCACTTGGAAGCTGAGCGGGGACGACAAGCTGGCCGAGTTCCTCCGGGACCCTTGGCACTACTATGACCCCAACGGGTTCAACGCTCACTACCTCCAAAACCTCCTCTTCTTCGATTTGGGCTACGACAACAACATGAACGCCGACAGCCCGCTGGTGGAGGAGCACATCCAGGAGATAGATCAGCGCTTCCACCTTGTCATGTTGCTCGAGTACTTTGATGAGTCGCTGGTGCTGCTGAAGGAGCTGCTGTGCTGGCAGCTGGAGGATGTCCTCTACTTCAAGCTCAATGCCCGCAAGGGCTCCACTGTGTCCCGGCTGACACCTGAGCTCTATGAGAAGGCCACCTCCTGGAACCTCATCGACGCCAAGCTCTACCGCTACTTTAATGCCACCTTCTGGCGGAAAGTGGAGGCCTACGGGAGGGAGCGGATGGCCAAGGACGTGGCTGAGCTGCAGCGGGAGAATGAGAAGATGAAGAGCATCTGCATCGATGGGGGACACCCTGTGGACGCCAGTGCCATCCAGGAGTCCTCCATGCAACCCTGGCAGCCGCTGGGGGAGAAGTCCATCCTGGGCTACAACTTGAAGAAGAAGATCAATAAGAAGCACCAGAAGCTGTGCCGCAAGATGCTGACGCCCGAAATCCAGTACCTGACCGACCTGGGGGTCAACCTCTGGATCACCAAGCTATGGAGCCGCGTGAGGGACTTCCTCAAGTGGTAGGGGGTGGCGGGGGTCCCGCTATCCCCCGGGAGGAACCAGGTGCTTTCCTTTTTCTTACTCATGGTGTCTGTTGGTTGGACATGAGCAGAACCCGGGAATGGTCAGGGGTACCCTGCACCCGCTTCCTGCAGAGCCCCAGCTTGGGCACCCACCAGAGCCTCTCCCTCAGCCTCCAAGAGCATCAAGGACTGGGGGCTTGGGGTGGTTTTTTCCCAGGAGGATCCACTTCTTTCTTCTCCATGGCAAGGCTGGAGGTGTTCATGAAGGACCTGTTGTGGTGGGAGCAGCACTTCCATCACCATGCAGCTGGAGGCAGCATGGGCAGGGTGTCCTCCTTGGCCACCAGGGAACCCAAACCTCGAGGGGCTCCTCAAAACACCCCATTTCCCTTGAGCTCCTGGAGCTGCTGCACCCCTCCAGGGGTTCTGGCCCGTGGGGTGATGAGTGCAGCATGCTCTCAGCCTACCCGTAGCCATGGTCCACATTGGGCTGTGACCTGGAGCCACTTAGAGAATGGAAAACCCACCCCAAAAGCCCATTTATCGGTGGCCTCATGGTCCCCACTGTGAACAGCATCCACAAGGCAGGTCCCCTCCCAGCCCCACATTGCCCTGGTTAGAGGGCCCCGTGGCCTCGGTCCCTACATGGGACATCCCAGAAGGCCACAGGGTCCAGTGAGAACTGGTGTGGGAAGGAGATGGGGAATGGGGTCTGGTGGCCACCGTCCCAGTGATGCCCCTGGTGGCACCTGTGGCTGAGGCTCCCCAGCAGCAAAGGGCCCCAGCCCGTGTTCTGCTCCCTTTGGGAAGACCATAAATAAATAAGCCCTTCTACTTTTGTAAGATGATGGTGTTTGGGGCGGTTTTTAACCCAAGGGTGGCCCAGCCACCTCCATCCCTCTCCCGTTTCTCCTGGGGGAGGCCCAGGACCATGGATCCACTCTGCTGGCCTTACAGCCCCATGGGACAGCCACCACGGGTGACACAACCCCCTTGTGCCACCAGGTCCCAGCTCTGCTGCTGGAGGGTGGCCCCAGAAGCACCCTCAGTACTGGGGTGGATGCACTCCCTAAGGGCCAGTCTGGGGCCACCACCTCAGCTGTGCTTGGTGCTGCCCGTGGGTCCTGGACACGGAGCTTGGGGTCCCTGCCTGAGCTCCATGGTGTCTCCCATGCTGTGCTGAGCTCTCCTGCTGGGAGCAGGTGGCAAATCCCAGCTCAGCCACTGGTTGTCTCCACAGGTAAGGGGATGGGAAAGCCAGTTCTGAGGCCAGAGGTGGCTGCAGAGATGATGTCCCCATGCATGTCCCTGTGCCAAGGCCGGGGGCTGTTGATGTGGGGACATCTGAGCTCTGTCCTGGCTGTGACCAAACTGCTGTCCCTGCGTGCCCAGGGCTGCCTGTCCCCCGCCACTGAGCCCTGGCGCATGGAGCAGCAGCTCTGCAGTGTGGATGGGACATCCCCCTGATGGAGTCCTTGTCCCAGCTCCCAGTTCCTTCCTGGAGCGCCCTGTGCCGCTGCGGTGACACCTCCTGGATTGCTGCTGGGCACCGGGCCGGGATGTGGTGGCCCTCGTGGCTTCGGGATCTGGGGGTCCTCACAGGCTGTATTGGACACATCCTGCCCCAGAGCTCCCACCGGAGGGCACGTTCCACCGGGAGGTGGTTGGACCATTGCTGGTGCAGAAGGAGAAGGTGCTGCGGTGTGAAGGTGAGCAGACACCTCCAGCCCCATGGCCCCAAACCCACCACCCCATGTGCTGAAGCAGCCTCTGAGCCCTGCTGGGTCTGGTGCCAGGTTCCTGCTGGCCAGGCTGGCACTGGTGGCATCTGCTATGGTTGAGGCTCTGCTGGCACACAGGGCAATGTCCCTTCCATGCTGAGCTGCAGAGCATGGGGAGAGCCCTCATCCCCAGGGAGATGAACAAAGGGGGTGAGATGGGTCCAGACCACCAGAGCCTGGCGCAGGGCTGGGGGGGAGCTGGTGCCCCCCTTCCTCCTCCCCATTTCAAAGTGGTTCTCTCTTCTCTAAAGCTTCTCTGCGTGGGACCGTGTGGATGCCACCGCAGGCCGGGGCCTCCATGACCTTGTCTGGAAGCCACATCACCCTGGTGGCACCTCGTGGTACTGGGAGATGTGGCCACCGTGCAGGGTGGCACAGCCCCAGGCCATGGCGCTGGAGCGGGTGGCTTCTGCCTGGAGGCACCACTGAAGACCTTGGCCATGGTGGCAGCCCCCATGGGACTGGCAGTGGCTGTGGGAGGATGGAGGGGCTCCAGCTAGGACCTGGGGGGGTGATAGGGGAGATCCCCCAGGGGCTGGGACACAGCCAGACCCGTGTGTGTGTCCCCAAGGAGGGGACATGGCCATGGGGTCTCCAAACACCACCCACAACAGGGTCAGCCTTGAAATGGTTTATTAGGACCAGCCCCGGAGCCGTCACCGGGTGTGGGATCAGGGGAGGGGGGTTCACAGTTGTGGGTCTCAGCACCCCAAGATCAGGTTCAGTGTCCCCGGGGGGGGCTCAGTGCGGGGCCGGGGGCTCTCCGGGTGCCCCATAGAGCTTGCGGAGGCTGGAGTCCATCAGGAAGTCCACGGTCCTGTGGCGGGAAGTGGGGCAGTGGGGGGTGCCCCTGGTTAACTGGCTCTGATGGGGCAGCTGGAGTGGTCCCTAACCCCAGGAGCATCCTGGGTGTCACCAAAACCAGGCTGAGGGCCCTGTTCCTGCTCATCCCTGTGGGGCTGGACACCCCTTTGGGGCGAAGACCCCCCCCCGATCACCCCATGCTTCCCCCACCCAGTTCCATGGTCACACTGGGACCAGTTCCCCTGGGATGAGGAGCGCTCCATCCCATGGGTGTCTCCCTTACCTGTCGATGGGGGTGATGATGACGGGGATGGTGGCCAGCCCCAGGGCGGTGGTGGCCCAGCGGCGCAGGGGCAGTGGCCAGCGGGTGAGGGTGCCCAGCAGGGCCAGCGAGGCGGCACAGAGCCGGTTGATGGTGAAGCCGGGGATGGCCACCGAGGCCAGGCTCTGCCAGATGAATGTGTCCACCACGGCCACCCCGACCCGCGTGGCCTGCGCTGGGTCCTGCACGTGTGCCTGGGGTGGGGGGATGAGGGGGGTCAGGGTGTGGGGATGGAGCAATGGGGGGTGCTGGTGGGGGGGTGACACTCACGGTGGCAGCTTTGCGGCCCTTGTCGATGGCATCGGCGGTCACGTACGCGGTGGCCACGCCGTAGCTGGCCCACACCACCGGCACCGGCACCAGTGGGCGGAAGGATTCACCCACCTCATTGGCATAACCTGGGGGGCAGAAGGGGGTCAGTGGGGATCAGGACCCCCCCGGGCTGTTCCTGTGCCCACTGGGAGCAGTGAGGACCCACACGGAGCGGTCAGAGTAGATAGGTCACCCTGCGCCCCACGGCTGTCAGTGACCAGCACCAGTGCCAGTGCCCAGTCCCCAGGGGCAGTGTGGGTGACAGCACGTGCTGCTGGTGCACAGTGCCAGTACCAGTGATGGTGACTGCTGTGCAGTGACCCGGTGTGCGGTGTCGGTACCCAGTATTGGTGCCAGTGTGTGATGCTGTTATCCAGTGTGGTGTGACACCGGTACCCAGTGTCAGTGCCTGGTGTGTGATGCTGTTATCCAGTGTGGTGTGACACCGGTACCCAGTGTCAGTGCCCGGTGTGCGATGCTGTTATCCGGTGTGGTGTGACACCGGTACCCAGTGTCAGTGTCCGGTGTGTGATGCTGTTATCCAGTGTGGTGTGACACCGGTACCCAGTGTCAGTGCCCAGTGTGTGATGCTGTTATCCAGTGTGGTGTGACACCGGTACCCAGTGTCAGTGCCCGGTGTGCGATGCTGTTATCCAGTGTGGTGTGACACCGGTACCCAGTATCAGTGCCCAGTGTGTGATACTGGTACCCAATGTCAGTGCCCAAGGGCAAGTGTCAGTACCGGCTGCACAGTGCCAGTGTCCGACGCAGTGCAGTGCGTGGTGCTGGTGTCTGGTACCCGGTGCCTGGTGTGTGTGTGCCCAAGGACAAGTGTCCGTGCCCGGTGCCGGTACCCGGTGCACTGTGCATAACCAGTGCTGGGTGTCAGTGCCCGGCACCTGCTAACACAGCACTGGTGTCTGATGCAGCCGTGCTGCCTGACTCAGCGCCCGCTCTCAGTGCCTGAGGACAAGCACGGTGCCGGTACTCGGTTCATGCGCAGTGCCCGGTGCCGGTGCCCGCCCCGATGTGGTACCCCAGTGCCCGGTGCCGGTGTCACGTGCCCGGTGTCACGTGCCCGTTGTCACGTGCCCGCCACCCGGTGCGCGCCGCGGTGCTCACCCAGGTACCGGACCCACGTGTCCCGGTAGAGGTCGGGCTCCGCCGCCCCCATGGCGCGCGCGCTCCCTCTCCCGCCGCCGCCACCGCACGAGCCCGCCCCGCCCCTCCGGGGATACGTCACCAGGCCCCGCCCCCCGGGGAGCGCGGGAGGGGCGGAGCACAGCGGGGCTGCGAGGGAGGGGGGGGTGGGGGGTAATAGTCACGTGACTCCCCGCGGCAGTCACATGGGTGGAATATGAGGGTGGGGGGCAACGGGGAGTAGTTATGGGGCGGGTGGTCGGCAGGGTCCTGTTATGGGGCTGAGGGGGGCAGCAGGGTCTGGTAATGGGGCTGGGAGAGGCAGCAGTGTTTGGTTGTGGGGCTGGGGGGGGCAGCAGGGTCCGGTTATGGGGCTGGGGGAGGCAGTAGGGTCCGGTAATGGGGCTGGGAGAGGCAGTAGGGTTTGGTTGTGGGGCTGAGGGGGGGCAGCAGGGTTTGGTTGTGGGGCTGGGAGAGGCAGCAGGGTCCGGTTTGGGGGCTGGGGGGGGCAGCAGGGTCTGGTAATGGGGCTGGGGGGGCAACAGGGTCCGGTTATGGGGCTGGGGGAGGCAGCAAGGTTTGGTTATGGGGCTGGGGGGGGTGGGTGACAATAACCAGAGGTGACCCAGCTCCATCCATCCCTTTACTCCCCCCACCCCATGCAGCAAGTGGGGGCCCAGGACCCCCCTAAGGCACAGTTGGGGGCTCCCGTCCCTCCGGCCCCGCTCAGCCCCTCCTCGGTCCTTGCACTCGGGGGCCTCAGCCCCGTCTCCATCCTGGGGGCGGCTGCGGCCATCCTGGGGGCTCCGGCAGCCGTGGGGGGGGGGGTGTCTCTGCAGCGAAGGGGGTGCAGCGCTAGGGGCTGTGGTTGAGGCTCTCCTCGCTGGGCCGGTCCCCGAGGCGCTGGATCTGCTGCGCGGCGGCGGCATCCGGCAGCAGCACCTCCACGCTGTAGCTGAGCCGCTTGGCGTGCAGGTAGCTGTAGGTGTTGTCGAAGCGCAGCACGTCTGTGGAACGGGGGGGGTCAGCACCGGGGGGGCAGCCCGGGGTGTCCCCAGGGGCTGGGGAACAGGGGGGGGGGATGCGCTCACAGATGCCGGGTGTGGAGCAGGTCAGGGACCCGTCCTCGGGCACCAGGTGGGAGTTGTAGCGCTGGTTGGGGTACACCTCAGTCATGGCCCCCGCGCGCTGCCGCTCCCCGGCCTTGGTCTTCAGGTACACCCCGAACCCCACGTCAGCGCCCTCCGTCCGGAACTGCCACCTGCGCCATGGGGAGAGCCGTGGGGGGGGGGCACCCCCAGTGCGCTGCGTCATCCCCATTGTATTGTGTCACCATTGCATTGTATCCCCTCTGTTGCATTGTATCCCCCCATACATGTCCCTTCCATCACATTGTGTCCCCTGCATCACACCGTGTCCCTTCATTGCCTTGTGTCCCTGTCATCGCATTGTGTCACCCTCATCGCTCTATGTCCTCCCTCTGTGTCCCCTCCATCACATTATGTCCCTTCATTGCCCTGTGTCCCCTCCATTACACTGTCACTTCCATTGCTTTGTGTCCCCTCCATCGCTTTGTGTCACCCCCATTCCATCCATCGCATTGCATCTCCCCGATTGCCTTGTGTCCCCTCCATTGCGCTGTGTCCCCCCCATCGTGTTGTGTCCCCCCCATTGTGTTGTGTCCCCTCCATCGCGTTGTGTCCCCTCCATCGTGCTGTCACGCTCATCTCGTTGTGTCCCCCCCATCATGTCGTGTCCTCTCCATCGCATTGTGTTCCCTCCATTGCACTGTGTCACCCTTATGGCATTGTCTCCCCCCCATTGCATTGTGTTCCCCCCATCAAGTTGTGTCCCCTCCATTGCACTGTGTCACCCTTATGGCATTGTCTCCCCCCCATTGCATTGTTTCCCCCCCATCACGTTGTGTCCCCCCCATCGCACTGTGTCACCCTTATGGCATTGCCTCCCCCCCATTGCATTGTGTCCCCCCCATCGCATTGTGTCCCCCCCATCATGTTGTGTCCCCTCCATTGTGCTGTGTCACCCTTATGGCATTGTCTCCCCCCCATTGCATTGTGTTCCCCCCATCATGTTGTGTCCCCTCCATCGCACTGTGTCACCCTTATGGCATTGTGTCCCCCCATCACATTGTGTCCCCCCCATCGCATTGTGTCCCCCCCATCATGTTGTGTCCCCTCCATCATGCTGTGTCACCCTTATGGCATTGTGTCCCCCCCATTGCACTGTGTTCCCCCCATCATGTTGTGTCCCCTCCATCGCGCTGTGTCACCCTTATGGCATTGTGTCCCCCCATCACATTGTGTCCCCCCCATCACGTTCATCCCCTCACTGTGTTGTGTTCCCCCATCCCCGTGGGGTGCAGCCCCCTCCTCACCTGAGGACGCAGCCGGGGAAGAGGATCTCGTACTCGACCTGGTGGGACGAGCCCCGGTTCACCACCACGCTGTGCTCGTACTGCTGCGCCAGCTGGTCCCGCACGTAGTACCGCTGCGGCACGTCCCCCCCATAGTTGATCTGTGCAGGGCATGGAGATGGATGTGGGTATGGGGGGGCCCTGCACCCCCCTCAGGAACCCACGGGTGCGCTGGGGCTTCTCCAACCTTGCTCGAGCACTTGGGGTCCCCATTGGGGTCCGTGAGGCTGCCCCCGTACTCCACCGGGATCTGCTCGGGGTCGATGTGCTTCTGCAGGACCTCCTTCCAGTTGGCTGCAGGGAGGAGGACTCGGTGCTTGGGGGGCACAGGAGCGCTGTGGGGAGCCCCCTTGGGTGAATGGGAGGCAGGGGAGGACGTGGGGACCGGTTCTGAGGGCTCTGGACTCACATCCCAGCACCACGACCTTCCTGCGGGTGTCCTCGCTCAGGAAGTGCTTGACCAGGTTGTAGGCAACGGGGAAGATCTTGGGGGCTGGGGGTGGATGGGGGTGTTATGGGGGGGTCAGCACCCCCCGGTGGGAGGAGAGGCCCCGCGGCCGGACTCACCCTTCACAATGAACAGATGCTTGAGGGACTCGGGGTAATTCTCCTCGAACATGGACAGGAGCTGCGGGATGGGGAGAGCTCCATCACCCCCATCCACACACCCCCACCCCAAAACGCTCATGGGGTACAGGGCACAACAGGGCCCTGCTCCTGCATCACGGTCCTGGTGTCGCTGTCACAGCCTCACCTCCCCATAGGTTTCCACCGCTGGCTTCCAGAGGTGCTTCAAGCCCAGGCCCTCGCAGTCGTACACCATCAGCACCGTCTCGATCTTCCTGCCCAGCTGGGATGGGGCAGGGGGGGGTCAGGCACTGCCCAGCCCCAACAATGGGGCTGGAACCCCCTGGGCAGAGCATCCTCCGGGTGTGGGTGCGAGGAGAACGGGACCATGCGCTGGGACAGGGACACTGGGTGGTGGGGATGGAGCGGGCATGGGTTTATGGGGCTGGGGCGGACACTGAGGGGTAGGGATGGGTGAGATGTGGACTTAGGGAGCTGGCAGGGACATGGTGCGTGCAGGAAGGACAGGACGTGGCCATATGGGGCTGGACTGGGTATGGAGGGGGGGGGAGGACACCGGGTGGTGGGGCTGGGGACGCCCAGGTGCGCGCTATGGGGCGGGCCCCACCTTCCTGCTCTGCTCCTCGCACTCGTGCCGCAGCAGCTCGCAGTCGCGGAACTTGTTCTTGAGCAGGTCCTGCTTGGAGGCGGAGAGCAGCAGCCCCCGCGCGTCCAGCGGCCCGATGATCTCGTACCAGACCGGGCTGCCCTCGCGGTCGTAGCCGCACATCCCGCCCGACATGTACCTGCGGATCACCTGCGCAGCGCCGCCGTCAGCCGCACCCCGTGCGGAAGGGACGGGACGGGACCCCCCCAGGGCACCCCCCTGCGCCGGGGACACGCACCTCGGGGGCCTCCCAGGACACGATGTGGTCGGCGTCCATGTGCTTGCGGACCTCAAGGTGCTACGGGGAGGGGGGGGGGCAGAGATGGGGATGGGATGGGGTGAACCCCGCTGGCAGGTCTGAGAACGGGGCCATCCCAGTGACAACCGGGAGCTGGGTGGTGGCATTGGGGGGTCCCCCTCACCTTGCGGAGCATCGCCTCTGACTTGGGCACGTCGAAGGAGCGCGCTGCAGGACAGCAAAGAGCTCAGCTCCAACGGGTGCTCCAGCCCGGCTCCATCACCCCCAACGCACGTCCTTGCTTCCATCACCCCCAACACATGTCACCAGCTCCATCACCCCCAACACATGTCCCTGGATCCATCACCCCACATGTCCCCAGCTCCATCACCCCCAAAGTGTGTCCCTGGATCCATCACCCCACATGTCCCCAGCTCCATCACCCCCAAAGTGTGTCCCTGGATCCATCACCCCACATGTCCCCAGCTCCATCACCCCCAACATGTGTCACCAGCTCCATCACCCCCAATGCATGTCCACGGCTCCATCACCCCCAACAGCCCTGCCATACCCCCAACCGTATCCCCAGCTCCATCACCCCAACACAGTCCCTGGATCCATCACCCCACATGTCCCCAGCCCCATCACCCCCAACACATGCCACCAGCTCCATCACCCCCAACGCGTATCCCCAGCTCCATCACCCCCAATGCACGTCCTTGGTTCCATCACCCCCAACACATGTCACCAGCTCCATCACCCCCAATGCATGTCCCCGGCTCCATCACCCCCAACGCATGTCCCTGGATCCATCACCCCCAACACATGTCCCCAGCTCCACCACCCCCAACGCGTATCCCCAGCTCCATCACCCCCAATGTGTATCCCCAGCTCCATCACCCCCAGTGTGTATCCCCAGCTCCATCACCCCCAATGCATGTCCCCAGCTCCATCACCCCCAACACGTGTCCCTGGATCCATCACCCCACATATCCCCAGCTCCATCACCCCCAATGTGTGTTCCCAGCTCCATCACCCCCAACGCATGTTCCTGGCTCCATCACCCCAACGTGCGTCCCTGGCTCTATCACCCACAACATGTCTCTGGCTCCATCACCCCACATGTCCCCAGCTCTATCACCCCCAACGCGTGTCCCCCACCCTGGGGTCACCTCGGAGCCATTTGAGGAGGAAATAGTCATCCTGTGCAGGCAGCGAGGGCAGCACATCCTGCACGTGCTCCCGGAACTGCAGGGGAAGAGGGGCTATGGAGGGGCCATGATCCCACCCCGAAACCCCAGAGCTGCTGCTGTGTGTCCCAGGAGGGCAGGGGCACCCACACCTTGTGCCTGCCACTGTGCACTGCTCAGGTGTCCCTGAGCTGGTCCCCTGCTGTGGGGCTGGAGGGACCATAGAATCCCAGCCTGGTTTGGGTTGAAGGGACCTTAAAGCTCCCCCAGCTCCAAGTCCCTGACCCCTTCCACTGGAGCAGCTTGCTCCAAGCCCCTGTGTCCAACCTGGCCTTGAGCACTGCCAGGGATGGGGCAGCCACAGCTTCTCTGGGCACCCTGTGCCAGCGCCTCAGCACCCTCACAGGGAAGAGCTTCTGCCTAAGAGCTCAGCTCAGTCTCCCCTCGGGCAGGTTCAAGCCATTCCCCTTGGCCTGTCCCTACAGGCCCTTGTCCCAAGCCCCTCTCCAGGTTTCCTGGCTGCCTCCTCCAGACCATTCCCATTGGGATGGCGCTGCTCCAGTGACACCCTGCAGGTCCTGTCCGGGTGCAGGTCCCTGTGGCACACGGCCCGGGCACAGGTCCCCGTACCAGGCCAGGACCTGCCCTTAATGAGGCCGATGGGATTATCTGCCGCTGCATTTAGGTGTAATTAAGGCCGGGATTAGGTCCTTCACCCTGAGAACAAGGTGCTCATGGACGGGTTCCCACAGCTCTGCTTTCCCCCCTCTGCCAGCACGGGGACGGTTTCGGCTCCGTGCCCCATCCCGGCTCCGGCTCCCGGCGGGGTCATCTTGGGCTCGGAGGGGCCAAGAGCAGCGATGGGATAAAGTCCCGGCGCGGTGGGAGCAATGACCCCGCTGGAACCCGCCCGGCCACGGTGCCGGTGACCGCGGTGCCGGTCCCAAGGCCAGCGCGGTGGCTGATGGCCACCGGTCCCCCGGAGCGCCGGGCAGCGGCGGGGCCAGCGGGAGCCATGGGGATGGATGGGGCGGGATGGGGGGGGCTCGGGGCCGCGGTCCCCGCTGGGATGGCGCAGCCGGGACGGGAGCGGGCAGCACCGCGGGGGATGCCGGGGGCACCGGGGCCGGTCCCCGCTCACCTGCGCCAGCGCCTCCGCCTGCCGCGGGCTCAGGTCCCCGACGCGGCCGCTCATGGTGCCCGGCCCCGGGGGGCTCGCGCAGCCTCTACCGGGCCCCGGCGCCGCCGGCGGCTTGCGGAGGCTCCGGAGCACCGCCCCCAGCCCGCCCCGCCCCGGCCCGGCCCGGCCCGGCCCCGCGGCCTTGGACCCTGCCCGGGCAGCGGCGGGGACGGGGGTACGGGGGGGATGGGGGGTTATTGGAGGGATGTGGGATAGGGGGGTGCGGGGATGGGGGATAGGGGGGTATGGAGGATGTGGGGGTATGGAGGGATGCGGAATAGGGGGGTATGGAGGGATGGGGGATAGGGGGGTATGGAGGGATGGCGAATGGGGGGTTGCGGGAATGGGGGATAGGGGGGTATGGAGGATGGGGGGGTATGGAGGGATGGAGGATGGGGGTGCGGGGATGGGGATGGGGGATGGAGGATGGGGGGTTATGGAGGGATGGGGATAGGGGGGTATGGAGGGATGGGGGATAGGGGGGTATGGAGGGATGGAGGATGGGGGGTATGGAGGGATGGGGGATGGGGGGGTGCGGGAATGGGGGATAGGGGGGTATGGAGGATGGGGGGGTATGGAGGGATGGCGAATGGGGGGTTGCGGGAATGGGGGATAGGGGGGTATGGAGGATGGGGGGGTATGGAGGGATGGCGAATGGGGGGTTGCGGGAATGGGGGATAGGGGGATATGGAGGATGGGGGGTATGGAGGGATGGGGGATGGGGGGGTGCGGGGGTGCGGGGATGGGGAGGTGTCAGGGCTATAGGGAAATGGGGGTATGAGGGGATGGGGGGGATGGGGGGGTGTTGGGCTATGGGGTTATGGGGCTTAGGAGGGGATAGGGGTATGGAGAGGATGGGGGGCAGCGGGGGATGGGCTAAGGGGGCTGTGTGTCACTCGTGGCCCCATGGATGTACCATGGAGACATGCATGGCCCTCAGAGCTGTGTCTACACCATGGACCCATGCGTGTCCCACAGAGCCGTCTGTGTCCCTTGGACCCATGCATGCCCCATGGAGCTGTCTGCGTCCCTTCCACCCATGCACATCCCATGGAGCCATCTGCGTCCCTTGGACTGGTGACTGCCCCATAGAGCCATCCATGTCCTATGAACCTATGGATACTCCACAGCTCCACTCCCACCCCACGCGTATCCCACCACAAAGGTCCCACGTGTGTGTCCCCTCCATGGGGCCATGCTCACAGCCGCGGTGCCCCACGCTCCCATTTTGCGTATCCCACACTGGGGACCACCTTTCCCGTCCCAGTTCCGGAACCGGACAGGTTTCCGGGCTGTTGTTTACAGCAGAGCCAAGCAATGGGAACGTTTTGCCGTGCGGTTAAACCGGCTCCAGTGCTGAGATTAAGCCTCCATCATTGCGACACGGTTGGGAGCACCGGGAATACCAGGACACACCCAGACCCGTCCTGCTGGGAATGCCACCGCACCATGGCCCCCGTGCCCCGCCGGCCAGTGGATAATCCCCCAGGAATCCTGTTCCGGCACATGTGCCGGGCACACGTGGCTGCAGTGGGGCCACTGCGGCGGCACTGCTGGCACTGCTGGCACAGGGACAGTGGACGGGTGTCAGGGGGGGTTTGGGGTACTCGGGTGTTGGGGTGAGCCCAGGCCAGGGCTTGGGGTGCCCCACATGTGTGTGGGGCTGTGCGTGTCCCTTGCACGCATGTCCTAATGTGTCCCTGTGCACGTGTGTCCTTATGTGTCCCCATGTGTCCTCATGGGCCCCACAGGGAAGCGGGGCTGTGGGGACATGGGGGCCACATCCCCCAGCGTGGCACCATCCCTGCCCCTGTCCCTCTCCTGGGGCCCATCCCATTCCCTGTCCCTCTCCCCCTGTCTGTCCCGGTCCCAGTTAGGGATGGGGCACTTTCCAGTCCTGGTGCCTGACCCAATCCATATTCCTGTCCATGTCCTTTTCCCTCTCCCGGTCCCCATCCTCTGTTCCTGCCCCTACCCCATTCCTTTATCCTGGTCCCTTTTACCCCAGTACTCAGATCGGTCCCTTTTATCCCTGCCATCCCGGTCCTTTTTATCCCTGTTCCTATCCCTCCCGGTGCTTTTTATCCCTATCCCTATCCCTGTTCCCTTATCCCGGCCCCGTCCCCACGCCTGCTCTCGCTCTCGGGCGCCCCCCAGCGGCGCTGGGCCCCGGCGGTCCTCCGCGGCGGCAGGGGGCGCTGCGGGGCGGTGCGCGGCACTGCGATGGCGGCGGTGCGGGCCGCGCTGCTGGCGCCGCTGCTGGCGCTGTGCCGGGCCGGGCCGGGGCCTGCGCCCGCCGCTCGGGTGGAGGTGGCGGTGACCGGGCCGGGGCCGGGCTCAGGCCCGGGGGATGGCGCCGGCAGCGCGGCCGCGGGGCCCGGAGGCTCCTACACGCTGCGCGGTGCCGTGCTGGGAGCGGGGGGCGGCCGGGCCGGGCCGCGGGACGAGGAGGAGCAGGAGGAGATCCGCGGGCGGCTGCTGCTGGTGAGCACCGGGGAGACCGGGACCGGGGGGCAGAGAACCGGCCAGCAGGGAATGGGGCACCGGGGAACCGGGCACCGGGAGGGCTGGGGGCACTGGGGGCACTTAGATCACTGCGGAAGGAATGTGGGGGGCAGTGAGATGTGGGGGGCTGTGTGTGCAGGGGCCACTGGGGTCTGTGTGTGCAGTGGGCACTGGGGTCTGTGTGTGCAGTGGGCACTGGGGGTCTGTGTGTGCAGTGGGCACTGGGGTCTGTGTGTGCAGTGGGCACTGGGGTCTGTGTGTGCAGTGGGCACTGGGGGCTGTGTGTGCAGGGGGCACTGGGGTCTGTGTGTGCAGTGGGCACTGGGGTCTGTGTGTGCAGTGGGCACTGGGGTCTGTGTGTGCAGGGGGCACTGGGGGCTGCGTGTGCAGTGGGCACTGGGGTCTGTGTGTGCAGGGGGCCCTGGGGGTCTGTGTGTGCAGTGGGCACTGGGGTCTGTGTGTGCAGTGGGCACTGGGGGCTGCGTGTGCAGGGGGCACTGGGGTCTGTGTGTGCAGTGGGCACTGGAGGCTGCGTGTGCAGTGGGCACTGGGGTCTGTGTGTGCAGGGGGCACTGGGGTCTGTGTGTGCAGTGGGCACTGGGGTCTGTGTGTGCAGTGGGCACTGGGGTCTGTGTATGCACGGGGCACTGGGGTCTGTGTGTGTAGTGGGCACTGGGGGCTGTGTGTGTGCAGTGGGCACTGGGGTCTGTGTGTGCAGTGGGCACTGGGGTCTGTGTGTGCAGTGGGCACTGGGGGCTGCGTGTGCAGGGGGCACTGGGGTCTGTGTGTGCAGTGGGCACTGGGGTCTGTGTGTGCAGTGGGCACTGGGGTCTGTGTGTGCAGTGGGCACTGGGGGCTGCGTGTGCAGGGGGCACTGGGGTCTGTGTGTGCAGTGGGCACTGGGTCTGTGTGTGCAGTGGGCACTGGGGTCTGTGTGTGCAGTGGGCACTGGGGTCTGTGTGTGCAGTGGGCACTGGGGGCTGTGTGTGCAGGGGGCACTGGGGTCTGTGTGTGCAGGGGCACTGGGGTCTGTGTGTGCAGGGGGCACTGGGAGCTGTGTGTGCACTGGGCGCTGGGGGCTGTGTGTGTGCAGTGGGCGCTGGGGTCTGTGTGTGCAGTGGGCACTGGGGTCTGTGTGTGCAGTGGGCACTGGGGTCTGTGTGTGCAGGGGGCACTGGGGTCTGTGTGTGCAGTGGGCACTGGGGGCTGTGTGTGCAGGGGGCACTGGGGTCTGTGTGTGCAGTGGGCACTGGGGGCTGTGTGTGCAGTGGGCACTGGGGTCTGTGTGTGCAGTGGGCACTGGGGTCTGTGTGTGCAGGGGGCACTGGGGTCTGTGTGTGCAGGGGGCACTGGGGGCTGTGTGTGCAGTGGGCACTGGGGTCTGTGTGTGCAGTGGGCACTGGGGTCTGTGTGTGCAGTGGGCACTGGGGTCTGTGTGTGCAGTGGGCACTGGGGGCTGTGTGTGCAGTGGGCACTGGGGTCTGTGTGTGCAGTGGGCACTGGGGTCTGTGTGTGCAGTGGGCACTGGGGGCTGTGTGTGCAGTGGGCACTGGGGTCTGTGTGTGCAGGGGGCACTGGGGTCTGTGTGTGCAGTGGGCACTGGAGTCTGTGTCTGCAGTGGGCGCTGGGGACTGTGTGTGCAGTGGGCACTGGGGTCTGTGTGTGCAGTGAGCACTGGGAGCTGTGTGTGCAGTGGGCACTGGGGGCTGTGTGTGCAGTGGGCACTGGGGTCTGTGTGTGCAGTGGGCACTGGGGGCTGTGTGTGCAGTGGGCACTGGGAGCTGTGTGTGCAGTGGGCACTGGGGTCTGTGTGTGCAGTGGGCACTGGGGTCTGTGTGTGCAGTGGGCACTGGGGGCTGTGTGTGCAGGGCACGGGTCTGTGTGTGCAGGGGGCCTGGGGTCTGTGTGTGCAGTGGGCACTGGGGTCTGTGTGTGCAGTGGGCACTGGGGTCTGTGTGTGCAGTGGGCACTGGGGTCTGTGTGTGCAGGGGGCACTGGGGGCTGTGTGTGCAGTGGGCACTGGGGTCTGTGTGTGCAGTGGGCACTGGGGGGTTGTGTGTGCAGTGGGCACTGGGGGCTGTGTGTGCAGTGGGCACTGGGCTGTGTGGTGCAGTGGGCACTGGGGTGTGTGTGCAGTGGGCACGGGGGGTCTGTGTGTGCAGGGGGCACTGGGGTCTGTGTGTGCAGTGGGCACTGGGGTCTGTGTGTGCAGTGGGCACTGGGGTCTGTGTGTGCAGTGGGCACTGGGGTCTGTGTGTGCAGTGGGCACTGGGGTCTGTGTGTGCAGGGGGCACTGGGGTCTGTGCGTGCAGTGGGCACTGGGGTCTGTGGGTGCAGTGGGCACTGGGGGGTTGTGTGTGCAGTGGGCACTGGGGGTGAGCTGGGGACAGGTCCTGCTGCCCCCTGTACCACCGCAGCCGCTGCCCCGGCGGTGCCATGCTGGTGCCAGGGGCTGGTGCCGTGCTCCCTGCTGCAGGTGGGGGATGCGGAGCCCGAGCTGGGTGCTGCCGGCAGCTGGATCGGGGTGGTGCCGGTGGGCGAGGAGCCGGCGGAGCTGCCCCGCGTTGCCCGTGAGGAGTCCTTCACCACCGCCGTCGTCAGCAAGGTGCGAGCGCACGGGGCAGCGCCGGGGTCTGCAGGGTCCCGTGTGGGCCTCTCGTGGGTCCCTTGTGATGCTTCCCCAGGGCAGGGAGGCGCTGGGTGCTGCCTGCAGGGGGATGCTGCTGCCCGTCCTGCCTGTGCTGCCCTGATCCCCTCTCCTGTCCCCACAGATGAAGCGAGCCCTGGTGCTGGGGGCATCGGCCCTGCTCATCCTGGCGCTGAACCAGAACGCCATCCGGGAGGTAGGGGCGTCCCTCCTGCAGCCCCAGCCCCGGCCTCATGCCCTGCTCACGGCTCTTGCTTCCCCCTCTGCTTGCAGCTGGACCTGTCCCAGCTCCTTGCCAAGCCCGTGATCGTGATCCAGTCCTCGGACAACGTCACCAGGCTGCTGGGAGCGCTGCTGCGGTATGGCTGGGGCTGTGGGGCTGGGTCCTGCCCCCCTTGCCTGGCCGGGCTGCACGGGGGTCCCCATACACAGCACATGGGCTGGGGGAGAGCTGGAGCAGTGCAGAGCCCACATGGCAGGTTACCAGCACCCCTAGTGCTGTGTTTGTCCCCACCACTGCAGTGATGGGACCCCTCGGTCCTTCCTGCACGTGGTCAGTGCGGATTGCTGCTGTGGTGTCATGGGGGGAAACTGAGGCAGGGCACTGGGGGGAAGAGGTTGTGTGGGGTCGCTCAGGACTGGGCAGGGGCAGTCCCCTGGGTGTTCCTCTGTTCCCTGTGTCCACCATGTCTCTGGGAATGGGGGGGAGATGCTCCCAGTGCTGGGGTGCTGCAGTGGGATCCTGCTGTGCCCATGGGATTGACTCTTCCTGCCTTTTGCTCACAGGGGGCTCCGGGCGACAGCCAAGATCACATACCAGGCGGTGCTGCTGGAGAACCTGGTATGTTGGTCTGCCTTCCTCCTCCTCCTCTATCCCAGTGGGAGGGCAGGGACTTCCCCCACCGATGGGCTCCTCCTCCCCTCCATGCACCCAGCACCAGCAATGCCATCTCCTGCCTTGCAGGGAGTGACCCTCACGCTGTGGTCAACCTGCGGCCTCTCCCGAGGGGGCCTCTACGGGGAGTGGCAGGGGGTCATCTGCACCGGGGAGACCAGCTCACAGGTCCAGGTATGGCTCCGGCACTGGGGAGGGCTCCTCCTGTAACCGGTTACTGGTGTGCGGCAGCGGCAATGGTGGGGATGGGATTGGAGGGAACCCGCGGTGTGCTGGGCTGCACCCCCAGAGCGTGAGCAGCAGCTCAGGGAGGGGATCCTGCCCCTCTGCTGTGCTCTGGGGAGACCCCCCCTGCAGCCCTGATCCAGCTCTGGGGCAGCAGCACAAGAGGAACCTGGAGCTGTTGGAGCGAGTGCAGAGGAGGCCATGGGGATGCTGCGAGGGCTGGAGCAGCTCTGCTCTGGAGCCAGGCTGAGAGAGCTGGGCTGGGGCAGCCTGGAGAAGAGAAGGCTCCTGAAGGGGAGACCTTAGAGCAGCTCCAGTGCCTAAAGGGGCTGCAGGAAAGCTGGAGAGGGGCTTGGGACAAGGGCCTGTAGGGACAGGCCAAGGGGAATGGCTTGAACCTGCCCGAGGGGAGACTGAGCTGAGCTCTTAGGCAGAAGCTCTTCCCTGTGAGGGTGCTGAGGCGCTGGCACAGGGTGCCCAGAGAAGCTGTGGCTGCCCCATCCCTGGCAGTGCTCAAGGCCAGGTTGGACACAGGGGCTTGGAGCAAGCTGCTCCAGTGGAAGGGGTCCCTGCCCGTGGCAGGGGTTGGAGCTGGAGGAGCTTTAAGGTCCCTTCCAAGCCAAACCATTCCATGATTCCATGTTTTGCTCCCTGGTGCTGACCCTACAGAAGTACCTGCAGCAGCTCTGGAACACCATCCTGCTCATCGCCCTGCTCCTCTGCACCGGTGTGATCGTGCAGGCCCAGCGGCAGTCGCGGCAGGACCCGTCGGAGCGGGATGCTGAGGTTGGGGATGTCTCCACGCTCTGCTCCTCCCCGGGGTGATGTGTGCCCGGCTCTGACCCTCTGCTGTCCCCGCAGCTGGACCTGAAGCAGCTCATCCACCGGCGGCTCTCGGCGCTGAAAACACGGCGCTACCACCCCGGTAGAGCGCTGCGGAGCCGCGCCTGCGAGATCGATAGCTGTGCCGTGTGCTTGGACCAGTTCCACAAGAGCCAGGTGGGCACTGGGAGCCTGGAGCCCGCACTGGGGCTGCCTGTGCTCCTGGTGCTGAGGCTGCCCCTGCTTACTGGGGCCTAGATCCGCTCATGTCCCCATCCCTCCCCACAGTGGCTGCGGGTGCTGCCGTGCTGCCATGAGTTCCACCGGGACTGCGTGGACCCCTGGCTCCTGCTGCAGCAGACCTGCCCCCTCTGCAAGCGCAACATCCTGGGTGAGAGCCCACCGCCACCACGGGGGTGAGGGCTGGGGGGGGGAACCAGAGCCCCCCTGGCTTCCCGTACCATCCCCTCCATCCTCCTACCTTGCAGGGAACTGCTGCCCGGAGAGCTAGCTGCCTGGTGGCTGTGCTCCAGAGACGGACCCATGGGTGCTGTGGGGAAGGGCAGGGGGTGCTCGGGCAGCAGTCCTCACTGCTGGCACGGGTTCAGCGCCCATCACACCCCAAAGGAGGATCCGGGGGGGCTGTCCCAAATGAACACGAGTAGAGGGCTATGGGGGGGGGTCCAGTGTGGGGAGGGTGGGGCATTGGGAAGGGAATAGGGGCACCCATGGGTGCAGCAGGGTGGGAGGGTGCAGAGGCTGGGCTGTGCTCTCCCTGCTCATAGTCACTTTTCTAGGTGTCTTTTTGTTTTCTATTCACGGGTGCCTGCGGTGGGGTGGCCCCTGCATGGTGGGGTGCTGGGTGCCAGCTCTGCGGGGCGCCAGCTCTGCTGGGGCCTCACCACCGAGGGCAGGCCCAATGCTTTATTTATACTAACTTATTATGAGGGAGGGCACAGAGTGGCTGCAGGGACCCCTCGTGGGGCCTGTGTCACCGGACCCGGCTGTGCCGCAGGGGCTGGCACTCACTGGTCTCTATTAAACAGGAACTGAGGACAGGATGCTGTGTGTTGTGTTGAGCTCACCAGGTTCCTGATGCCCTCCCAGGGCTGCTCCCGGCCCCTCTGGGTGCTGGTGGGTGCCGGCAGCACGGGGAGAGCTGCTTCCATGGGCTATGGGGCTCAGCCTCCTCTCACCCCCAGCCTTCCTCTTCCAAGCAGCTTGGCCAGCCCCAGTGGAGGCACAAGAGCATGGGCCAGGAGTGGGTTTCCCAAGGGAAGGGGCCCCAGGATGAGGCAGTGTCCCTTGGGCAGGGCAGGGGATGGGTGCTGAGCGCTTCACTTCTGTGTGAGTCTCAGAAGCATTTATTCAATGGTGGTGGCCACCAGTGTGGGGAGAGGACAGGGGACGGGCTCTGCCTTGGGGCTCAATGGGGCTCAGCACCAGGCCCTCAGCCACAGGCAAGGGACAGCATCCGGCCTTGCCCATGGGTTCTGCCCAGGGTGGCTTTGCCCTCTGTCTGCTGGGTGTTCGCTGCCTCTTGTTGCCTGTGCATCCCAGTGTCCCTGTGTGAAGCTTTGTTCCTGTGCATCCCAGTGTCCCTGTGTGAAGCTTTGTTCCTGTGCATCCCAGTGTCCCTGTGTGAAGCTTTGTTCCTGTGCGTCCCTGTGTCCCTGCGCTGTCCCGGCTGCTCGGTGGCCTGTGGGTAGTGGGAGCGGTTAGAGAGGAGGAAGAAGAAGGGAAGGTCCCCAGTTCCTTCCTCTGGGGTCCTACTCACCCCTTGTCCTGCCTGACAGTGTCCCTGCTGTCCTGGCTGAGCTGGGACCACAGCTGGCTCTGCGGGATGAGCTGCGGAAGGGAAGAGAAGGGGTGAAACTTCCCCACCATGTTCAGGTGCAGTGGGGCTGATGGAGAGGAGGGACATGGAGCTCCTGCAGGGAGACTGAGCTGAGCTCTTAGGCAGAAGCTCTTCCCTGTGAGGGTGCTGAGGCGCTGGCACAGGGTGCCCAGAGAAGCTGTGGCTGCCCCATCCCTGGCAGTGCTCAAGGCCAGGTTGGACACAGGGGCTTGGAGCAAGCTGCTCCAGTGGAAGGGGTCCCTGCCCGTGGCAGGGGTTGGAGCTGGATGAGCCTTAAGGTCCCTTCCAACCCAACCCAGGCTGGGTTTCTGGGACTGGTCTTTTGCTACCCAGAGCTTTTCCTGCATGGGCAGTCCCCAGCGGATGGGGACAGTGCCGTGGCCCATGGGGTGGTGCTGGGCTTCACACCCTCTCCTCATGGCACCAGTTCATGCTGGCTGGTGCATCCTCACCTTCAGCACTCCCTCCTGGGCAGCCTCCTTCACCTTGCCCAGCGCAGCGCTGAGCCGTGCGTTCTCCTGCTCCAGCACCCCGATCCGGATGCTGTTGGCCTCGAGCTGCCTCCTCATGTCCTCGGTCCAGCTCCCGGTGCCTGCAACCAAAGCACAGCATTCTTGTGCTGTGAGCCCGGGCTCAGGCTGCAGCTCTCCCTCCCCCTGAGCACCAGCACGGCTCAACTCAAGCCCTGGCCCAGCTTTATGTGCCAGCCTGGAGGTGGGATCAGCAGTTCCTGTGCTGGGAAGCGTGTTAAGATGGGCTTAGCACAGCTCAGGGCTGAGCCCTGCTTGGCTGTGAATGGCACAGAGGGTGTTGTGCAGATAATCCCGATCCCCTGTGAGCCTGGGCACAGGCTGAGGGCAGGAGCCTGCTCCCTTACTCTCAAACTGTGCCTCAGTGGGGACGTGGAGCTCAGGGAAGAAGACCAGGAGGCGCTCCCGCTCCTGCAGCTTGGCCACGTTCTCCTGCAGCTCCGAGACAGCCCGTTCCAGGCCCAGCTTCTCCTGCTGCAGCGCGTCCAGCAGCTCCTGGGGGGTACAAAAGAGATGCTGAGGTTTGCAGAGAGCTCTCCTGAGCCACAGGATGGTGCAGCACGGGGGAGTCCTGGGGGAGCCCTTGGATCCCCAGGGAAAGCATCCTCCTTTCCTTAGGTGGTAAGGATGCCCCATGATCAGGGGACTGGAGCGTCTGCCATATGAAGATAGGCTGAGAAAGTTGGGGCTGTTCAGCCTGGAGAAGAGAAGGCTGCGTGGGGACCTCAGAGCAGCCTTCCAGTATCTGAAGGGGGCCTATAGGGATGCTGGGGATGGACTCTTCATTAGGGACTGTAGTGGTAGGACAAGGGGTAATGGGTTAAAACTTAAACAGGGGAAGTTTACATTGGATATAAGGAGGAAATTCTTTCCTGTGAGGGTGGTGAGGCACTGGAATGGGTTGCCCAGGGAGGTTGTGAATGCTCCATCCCTGGCAGTGTTCAAGGCCAGGTTGGACGAGGCCTTGGGTGATATGGTTTAGTGTGAGGTGTCCCTGCCCATGGCAGGGGGGTTGGAACTTGATGATCTTAAGGTCCTTTCCAACCCTAACTATTCTATGATTCTATGATGGTGGGAAGTGGGCAGGGATTTAGCTGGAAGGTCCCTGTGTGAGCTGGAAGCAGCAGCACCAGCCATGAAGAACAGTGCACATCAGGAGCAGGGATGCTGGAGACATGGGAGCAGCCCCAGGAGCCACCTTCCTCTGCTCCTTGGCCATGGAGAAACCCAGTGGAGACTTCCCTGCATGAAGGCTGAGGGATCTCTGGGAGGAGACGGCCCTTGTGTCATCCCCTGTCCCACACTCATCCTGCTGGGAAAGCTGTGCCCATGGATGCGGGACGGGGCAGGGGATGGCTCTGGCCACCCTCTCAAGGCACAGGGGTCCCCAGGGCAGCCCCCGGGGGTTCTGGGTGCCAGCACTGACCTGCTGCTGCCTGTGCTGCTCCTGGCTCTCCTGGAGCTGCTTCTGGGTCTCCTGGAGCTGCTCCCGGCTCTCTTGGAGCTGCTTCTGGGTCTCCTGGAGCTGCTTCTGGCTCTCCTGGAGCTGCTCCTGCAGCCGGGCCTTGTCCTCCTCGGCCTCCCCCAGGCTGAGCTGCAGCTCCTCCCGCTCCTGGTCCAGGCTGTCGAACTGCTGCAGCAGCGTCCTCTGCTTGGCCTGCAGGGACTGCAGGGGCAGGAGCCTGCTCCAGGGCTGCTGCTGCACCCACACCGTGCTGGGCAACAGCACCCAGGAGCTCAGCCCCCTGCCAGGGCAAGGGGGAGCTGGACTGGTACCTCCTGGTGCCTCTCCATGCTCTCCACTTTGGCCTTCTCCTTCTGCAGCTGTATGGTGGTGGTGCTCAGCTCCTGGCCCAGGCTCTCCTGCTGCCTGCTGAGCAGCTGCACCTTCTCCTCCAGCGCCAGCACCTGGCTCTTGGCCACCATTGTGCTCATCTCCTCCAGCAGGGTGGCCTTGGCGGTCTCTGGGGACACACAGCACCTTCGCTAGCCAAAGATGGGTCAGTGCCCCATCCCTGGCAGTGTTCAGGACACAGGGGCTTGGAGCAAGCTGCTCCAGTGGAAGGGGTCCCTGCCCGTGGCAGGGGTTGGAGCTGGAGGAGCTTTGAGGTCCCTCCAACCCAACCCAGGCTGGGATTCTACACCCTTTGGTGCAGGCTGGGTGGGAGAAGCTCCAGGACAAGGTGTCCTCAGGGACCCAGAGCCTCCACAGGCCCTGGCAGGGGGTGGGATACATGAGCTGTGTGCCCCTGGGGTCCTTACCCAGCTCCTGCAGGGCTGCCTGCTTCCCAGCCAGCTCCTCCTTCAGGGTGGAGACTTGCTCCTCCAGCAGAGCCGCTCCTAAAGCAGCACAAGCCTTCAGCAACGAAACAGCTCAGACCCCTCAGACCAAGCAGGGGACACTGGGAACACCTCTGTACCTCTCTGTAGGTCATCCTTGGCCCGCTCCAGCCTCCCTACAGCCTCTAAATGCTCTTTGTTCTTTGCTTCCAGGCTCTGCTGAGCCTCCTGCTGCTGCTGCACATGGGTGTCCTTCTCTACCTGCAGCAGCCAGGCCATGTCCTCAACCTGCCTCTGCAGCTTCTCCTTCTGCTTCTCCGACTCGTGCAGCTCAGCCCGCAGCGGCTGGACCTGCTGCAGCAGCATCTGGAGGTGTTTGCTGATCCGGGACAGGTCCTTGCTCTGCTCGGAGGCCCAGTAGCTCACATCCGTGGCAGAGAGGGTCCTTCTCCCTGCCGTGTCCCCCACCACCTCCTGGAACCTGCTGAGGGCCGAGGGAATGTTCTGGCTCTGGCAGATGCTGGTGATGGCTTTGCCCACCTCATGGAGGCAGCCCTGGACGCTGGTGCAGGTGGCACAGGGTCCTGGGGTTGTCCCAGGTGGCTGCATGGGGACGCTGTTGGCAGCCCTGGGCGGGGAACTGCCCGAGGCACCACTGGCTGGTGTGAGCACACCGGATGGCAGGCACAGGGAAGTGGATGGGGCAATGTTTCGGGATGATCTTGGCTCCAGAACATTGGGCAGGCAGTGTTTCGAGGGCTCCTTCTCAGGGGTCCCAGCCCGGGGACTGGAGGGCAGTACAGGGCTCTTCTTCCTGGAAGCCTTCTTCTGGTGGAGAGAGCACAGAACAAAGACAGGGCTCAGATCAAACCGTGTTGGCTGGAGGTGATCTGTCAGAGCCCAGGCACAGAGGAGTGAACTGTGGGGAGAGGGCACTGGTGCAGCCAAGGGGCAGTGAGGAGCCTGCAGGAGGACAGCACCAAGCACTCGTGTTCACTGCCTGCAGTGCTCCATCACAACCAAAGCACGTGGATAACGGGCAAAATGAATTTACTTCCCTCTCCCCGGATCCAGGATGAGGGGGAATAGGGGGATTACATTTCCCCAGCTGCCAGGCATCTTCCCAGCCTTGGCAGAGCTGTGGTGTCACAGCAGGGAGCTCAGCAATGAAACCTGCTCCCCTTCTTGAGAGTGGCCCATCTGTCACACCTCTGGCCATGCCAGAGGAAGGACTGTGAGGCTTTTCCATGAGCAGAATCCTGGTTTGGTGGTTAGAGGAGGGAGGGGACGGTGTGGGACAGATGTGAGCATGGCTCAGTGCTCACAGGCATCCCAGAGGACCTCAGAGCAGTCCCAGTCATGGAGGGCAATGCAAGAGCCATTTCTGTGACGCTGCACTCAGCTTGGGGGTGTCAGGGCCCCCACATGTCCTACCTCGGCCAGAAGCTGCTGGTAGAAGGCTCCCAGTTTGAGCATGCAGCACCAGTACCTCCTCACGGTCAGCCCTGCAGACATGCCAGGGGCCAGGGCCCGCGCCGGTGGCACTGCTCGGTCGCTCAGCAGCTCCTCTGCATAACCTGTGAAGGTCTGGAGCAGCAGCAGCAGCCTGGGACAGCAACAGAGCACAGCTGAGAGCAACGGGGAAAGGGGCCTGAAAGGGTGCAGGAGGTTGCACTGCCCCCATGCCCTGGATAAGGGGAGCTTGGCAGAACCTCAGCCCAGTTTGGGTTGGAAGGGACCTTCAAGCTCCTCCAGCTCCAACCCCTGCCACAGGCAGGGACCCCTTCCACTGGAGCAGCTTGCTCCAAGCCCCTGTGTCCAACCTGGCCTTGAGCACTGCCAGGGATGGGGCAGCCACAGCTTCTCTGGGCACCCTGTGCCAGCGCCTCAGCACCCTCACAGGGAAGAGCTTCTGCCTAAGAGCTCAGCTCAGTCTCCCCTCGGGCAGGTTCAAGCCATTCCCCTTGGCCTGTCCCTACAGGCCCTTGTCCCAAGCCCCTCCTGCAGCTGTCAGCCTGCAGTTCAGCTCTCCCCAGCTATGATATCCATATGATACACATCCACGTGTAATCCATCACCCATGCTGCCAATATCCAACCCAAGAGCTCTGCAGGAAGGGCTCCCCTGGTGAAACGCAGCCGCATTTACTTCACCCTCATTGCAAACAGTGCTTTTGCCCCCCTGGCCTGGAGATCCACATGTATCCAAGGGGATTCCAAGGTTTCAGGGGGCAATTTAAGGAGCCCGCCCCTATCCACCCAGTGCCCTGCACAGAGCAGTGCCCGTGCTCCCACTGCTCCTTTACAGGCAGCATTTGAGCTCTGTGTAAGTCAAGGAGCTGGGGTTTAACAGTAGAGCTGTGGAGCATGAGGCCATGCGGTGTCAGCACACTGCTCATCCCTCAGCAGAGCCGCAGAGCCCTCGGGCAGCCTGGACACCCCGCCGGGGGACACTGCGGGCGGTACCTGTCGATGAGCAGCTCCAGCAGCATCACGTGGCCATGCTGGCTGACCTCGGGGTCGCCGGGGCTGTACCGGTACCGCTCCAGCAGCGCCGCCACGTCCAGCTCACAGGACACCTGATCCGGGAACTTCCAGGAGGGGACTCGCACGGCGCCGGCCCGGGAGGACACGTCGGCGATGGCGGCCTGCACGTCCCGCAGGTCGGCCCGCAGGCTCTCCATGCAGCCCGGGTGGCCCAGGAGGTGCGCCATGCTGGGCGGCACGGGCACCGGGCCGGGCAGGGACAGCCTCCAGGGGCAGGAGCGACACAGCGGGCCCGGGGGCTGGGGGGCTCCGGGGAACCGGGACGGGGGATCCTAGGGCCGGACCGAGGCCTGTAGACGACCGGCACAGGCGCCGGCCGCTGTTATGGCAACGGAGATCAGAGCCCCTACAGACCACGCCTCCGTGCAGTCTAACCAATCACAGGTCAGGCTCCCCGCAGACCACGACCCCCCGGTGCAGACCACCCAATCACAAGCCATGCCCCCCGTTCAGGCCACGCCCCCACAGCAACCACCCGGTTCAGACCACGCCTCCACTGCAGACCACACCCTCAAAATAGGCCACGCCCCCCGCACGGCCGTTAGGGTTCCTCTCCTATCACGCATGCGCACTGCGCTTCCTACCGTTACCTTACACTCCCCGTTAGGCCGCGCTTGGACCCTATCGTCACTTCCGGCGCGCAGGCGCAGCGAGGCGCAGCACCCGGCCGCCATTTCGCCCGCCGCGGTCGGTGCCGCTGGTCCCGTTTCCGTTTGTCCCCTCGGAGCGGCCCCGCAGCGGGAGCTCCCACCGCCCCAGCGCAGCGCCATGCCCGCGGGACCCGTGCAGGCCATGGCGCCCGCGCAGCCAGCGCCGCCCGCCGACAGCAAACCGGTGCGAGCAGCGAGGGGGGGGGATTGAGGGGGGGGGGGTACGGGACAGGCCGCGCTGGGAGCGGAGCGGGGCGGGGAGGCGGGCGGTTCGTACCGGGGCTGCTCGGGGTTCCTGCACGGACCCGCCTGTGGTTGGTTGCGGGGTAGGCCCGAGGCCCCCCTGCGGCCCCAGGCGGTGGTTGCGGGTCTGTCGTGAGCTGTGGGAGCGGGAAGAGTGTCCGAAGGGCTCGCACCCCCCCCGCCCCGCTGTGATTCACGGCCTGGCCCCGCTCTCCTCTGTCTCGGCCCCGTTCCCTGCAGCAGGAGGACTTTCCCGGCCTTCCCACAGTGGGAGCTCAGCTCCCATGGGCAGGGGCTGCTGCTCTGGCCGGGTTTGACACCATAGCGTCAGCGCCAGTGCAGGGACCCGAGCCGGTGGCAGATCCTAAGGCACACGAGGAACACCATGGCTCCTCCATATAAAACCCAGCGGGTTCCCTGCGCCCACGGGCAGCTCAGCGTGGTGCTGCAGTGAAAACAGCTCCCAGCGTGGTGCTACCTTACCCTGCTCCTCAAGGTGGTGTTCAGAGCAAGTGGGGATGAGAACTGCAGCTCCTTATGGCACGTTTCACCCTGCACTCTCGGTTAAGGTTGTATTTGACTCGTTCTGCCTTGGAGCCATGGGGATTGTGCAGAGCCGGAGGCTTGATTGGGACGTGAACACTTCCCTGTTAAGGGTACAAACGTTTCCCATAGACCTGCTCTCTTGTAACAGCTTTTCCTGGGGAAGTGGCTTGGTGAGGAAGGGGGAGGAACATCAGTGTCCTGCAAAGAGCTGCTGCTCTGCAGGAGGACAGAGCCATCTGCAGGGAGGACTCTGGGATCGTCATTTGGATCCTCATGGAATTACCCTGGGAGCAATGCCCTGCAGAGCTGTTCTCTATGAACCAGCTTTTGATGCAGCTGCCCTGGGATGGAAAGCTCTGTTTGGTTTAATGAGGGTTGATCATTCAGGTTCTAGTTTCTTGTGGTCCCCCAGGCCTTTGGGAACATTCCAGGCTCCCCGGCCTGTACACAGTGCTCAGTTATTCCCCCATGGAGTGCTCTTTGCTTGGCATTCCTAAAGCTATGTGGGGTCAAAGCTGGGATAGGAGGAGCACTGGGAGCGCTTGCTTTGGTTGCATGGAGGGGCCTGAGCTTCCTCCCAAGCCCCCTGCGGTGCCCTGGACGTTGTCACCCACCCTGAGCAGCCGAGGGGAGTCTGTGGGATGGGATTGTTAAACCAGAGCCTTGTGTTGGGAAGAGCTCCGGGATCTGGGAGCTAAGGAGGGCAGTGGCCTCGGGAGCTGTTTGCTTGGAGCACCTCATTCTGACCTGGCGTTCCCTGAGCAGGGGATGCAGAACAGGAAAGAACCTCCTAACGTCTCATCTCAGTCTCTCTTCTGCCAGTTAAGCTGTGTTAGAATTGTTATTCCCAGTGAAGTTGGGAAGCAATGGAGATCAACCACCTGGCAATAGGGATTCCAGTGCTCCAGGCTCATTTCAGCCCCTGGTGCTGGTACACACACATTGCTCGCTAGGATTTGAAGTTCCTTCTCTTGTTTTCAGCTTTGATTGCACAGGTTTTTTGGTTTGAGGTTGTCTGAATTTAGCATCCTCACTGATTGCAAGCACCACAAAGGTATTTTCCTGTGGCACTGCTCTTCCCTTTGGCTCGTTGCTGGAGCTGGGAGGCACCAGTGTGTTACCAGCGTTATCCCATACTAAATCCAAGACTCAGCTCTGTGCCAGCTCCTGTGCAGAGCACCAGATAAATGTGTGTTTATTGGTTTTTCTTACAGCCAGAAGAGGAGCCGAAAGAGGAAGCAGCCCCAGCCAAGCCTGTGGTTGGAATTATTTACCCTCCTCCAGAAGTCAGGAATATTGTGGACAAGACTGCCAGCTTCGTAGCCAGGTACTGGACACTGCTGTTGGCTCACAGTTCCCAGGGATTTTCCTGCTTTTCCTCTTTGGTGCTAATGGCTGCGCAGCTCTGGAAGCTGAAGGAGGTCCCAGTCCTGTAACAAGGCTCCTCACTTGTGTGGTGAGCCCCGGGTTAAATCCCACCCCTGTTTGTGTTCAGCTCCATGAGCCCCATCTCACCCTGCCTGAGAGCCAGGGGGAGAGAGGCTCCTCCAGAGAGCGTCTGATCCTCCCCTAGGACAGGATCTCCTGTGATGTGTGGGTACCAGCAGAGTGGTGGGTGGGAGCGGATCTGAAATGTAGGGAGGAGTCTTAAGAGCTGGATAAATTTGACTCATGTGGGCTTCTTCCATTTGCTGACTGGCATCATTCCTAGAATCCCAGCCTGGTTTGGGTTGAAGGGACCTTAAGATCATCCAGCTCCAACCCCTGCCATGGGCAGGGACCCCTTCCACTGGAGCAGCTTGCTCCAAGCCCCTGTGTCCAACCTGGCCTTGAACACTGCCAGGGATGGGGCAGCCACAGCTTCTCTGGGCACCCTGTGCCAGCGCCTCAGCACCCTCACAGGGAAGAGCTTCTGCCTAAGAGCTCAGCTCAGTCTCCCCTCGGGCAGGTTCAAGCCATTCCCCTTGGCCTGTCCCTACAGGCCCTTGTCCCAAGCCCCTCTCCAGCTTTCCTGCAGCCCCTTTAGGCACTGGAGCTGCTCTAAGGTCTCCCCTTCAGGAGCCTTCTCTTCTCCAGGCTGCCCCAGCCCAGCTCTCTCAGCCTGGCTCCAGAGCAGAGCTGCTCCAGCCCTCGCAGCAGCTCTGTGATCTGATTTCTGTCTTATCACTGCATGAAGTCTTGGGCGGTTCGATCCTGGTCCTCCTGCAGCATGTGGGTACCACAGGAGGTGCCACCCCTCAGCTGGCTCAGTATTAACCTCCATGGCTCCAGCAGCCACACGCTGTGCTGTCACCTCACTGAAAAGGGCCACTTGTCACTCTGGGTTTAAGGGAGTTACTTGCTGCTGCTCTGGACAAAAGCACTTATTGTGTAACTGAGCTCTGAGTGCTGCCAGGGAGCGTTGGCTTTCTGTGAGGATATGGAAGGGGCTGTTTATCCTTTGGTATTGTGGAGATGTCCTCTTCTGGAAGGGGTGGAGTGTCCAAACAAGACTTGGAGGTAACCAGAGGACGTGAAGAGAAACATGCTCTGGCTCAAGTGCCCCCAGATACGTGAATGAGAGGAATGGATGGTACCTCAGCTTAGGGCTCTGTGAATGCAACCCTGTCATGCACAGGCTGCTCCTTACCTATTTTTTTCCTTATATGAACTTTCTGGAAGTGAAACTGGTTCCAAAAGCTCGTGACTAGAGCAGATCGGTCAGGAAGTGACTTGTAAACTGCATCCCATAAGCTGTCAATCCATTAAATGGCCTTTTGTTTGTCTGTGGCCAGATGGGCTTGTGGAACACTGCCGGGTTTTGAACTGTCTGAAGAAACATGCACTGTGAAGTGTCCAGACTAAATCAGGACAAGTGCCTTTAGCTCGTGTGTGCGGAGCTGTTGGGTGTGAGTTACTGAGAGGTGAACTCCTTCCATGGGGGAGAGGAAATTGCACTGTGAGGGGCTGATGCATCAACGCATCTTACTGTAAAAGAAGCAGACCTTTACCCAGGAGTTGATGCCTGTTCACCTGAACAATTCCTCTGTTTCCTCCCCAGAAATGGGCCAGAGTTTGAAGCTCGAATTCGCCAGAATGAGATAAACAACCCCAAGTTCAATTTCCTGAACCCCAACGATCCCTACCATGCCTACTACCGGCACAAAGTCAGTGAGTTCAAAGAGGGCAAAGCCCAGGAGCCCTCGGCTGCTATTCCCAAGGTGATGCAGCAGCAGCAGACTGCCCAGCAGCAGCTGCCACAGAAGGTAAGTGTCCCTTTCACTCGGGCACAGAACTTGGCTTCTCCCTGGTGGCCCACAGCCTTGATGTGAAGCAGGAGGTCTGGAGCACAAGAAGCTGGTTACACGTCTGTAGAAAGCCAGCAGTGATCCCTTGGCATTCAGTGTCTGGGACCTGGTTTGCTGCAGATGGGCATCCCTCAGTTGCTTTGAACTCAAAGTTGGGTGGGAAAGAACCGATTTATTGTCCTACTTGGTCCTTCTTAATGACAAATGTGTGTTGATTGACATGGTACCTACACCAGTGATCACTCAGATTGGATGGGTTTAGGACTCCTGCCATAGGCGAGTCTTTAGAGTCTTGGAGTTCAGTTTGGGTTTGTCTTGTAGAAACATTTCCTTTTTTCCTGCCAGAGGGATCAACTTCCCCTTAAAGTGTGGGATGCAGGGTGTTGCTAGTCTTGCCTAGCTGTGCCTTTTCCATACTGGCTGGAACAAGGGCACTGGCTGAATGTCTTCCACATG